ATCGGAGAATAGTAGGAAAGAAGCTGAGCAGATACCAATTCATGGAATAGAACCGAAAGAAGGAGGTGCCCTGACCTTGACATCCATAAAAAAATTTAAGGGTGACGAATCAGATATTCTTCATTTAGTGTCTACAGAGTCTACCATCCAAATTCCCTTTGACTCAAAATCTCTGGAAGCTGTTAATGGGAAGAACACTTCACATGAACATGTGTTGTCTAATCCTTCTGATGAGAAGGCAGCAAGAGAAGATTTATCATCTCAAACCTTATTTTCCAATTTGTTCCAAAATCAAAACACTGTAGAAGAAAATGTAAATGAACTTCAACAGAGTGATCAATATCTTGAAGATAAAAGAAGCAGAACTATCACTGAAGATAATTTAGCAGAAAAAATATTGGAGGAAGCGTCTCCAACTTCTAATTCTTCAAAACCCCGTGGACCAGGACGTCCACCCAAGTATCAGGGAAAGAAAGCAATAGAGTGCCATTATTGTGGACGGTTCTTTCATTATATCTCATCTTACATTATCCATCGTCGTATCCATACAGGTGAAAGGCCATATAACTGCCAGGAGTGTGGAAAGACATTTGCTCAGCGTTCTAACCTCAATACTCATAGAAAGATACATAACATGTCAGAATCTTTGCAGTGTCCATATTGTGACAACAGGTTTACTGATAGGGATAAACTCCTTGAGCATTGCAAGACACACACAAAGGGCTTAGACAAAGCTGATTTTATTGAGAAATTGGAGCAAGAAGGCATACGTATTAAAACACAGCATAAAAGCAATTCTGCAAGCTCTACCATAACTCCGACAGATGCCAAACCCCATGTATGTGAATTCTGTGGAAAAAGATTTTGCTTTATTTCAATGCTGAAGATCCACTTGCGTGTTCATAGCGGAGAAAAACCATACACTTGCAAAGTTTGTGGCAAGGCCTTCAGCCAGGCTTGTAGTTTATATGCGCATGAGAAGATTCATTGGTCAGTAAAGCCATATGTTTGTACTATGTGTGGAAAGGGATTTGCACAGCTTGGAACACTGAAAACCCACCTTTGCCAACACAAAATAGAAAACCATTTAGAGAAGGTAAAGACCCCAATAACTTTCCAGTGCCACATTTGTGAGAAAAGATTTGGTCTCCGGCATCAGTATAACCTTCACATGCGTACACATACTGATGTTCAGTCTTATACCTGTCTTGCTTGTGGCGAGAAAGTCTCTGACCTCAATGTTCATCACCAGTCTTGCATCGAATTAGGTGGAGAGCAGGCATTAGCAGAGGATGGAGGAACTAATTCACCAGTTTGTCAAGTTTCAGAAAAATCTCAATATCAGTATAGTCAACATTTTCAATCCCAGCCCCTACAGCATTCAGAGGTCAAAAGCTACCAGTATCAGCCACAACCCCTTCAACCACAGTATGAAGACTATCAGAAAACTCGGGCTGACATATCTTACCCTCAAGTACAAAACTATAAACCGTTCCATATGAAAAAGGGGAACCATTCTTCACAAACTTACCCCATAGTTATAGATTCATCCACACGACAGACTGAAATTTCAAACTTAGAATACCTTCAACAGTACTCTCTTTCAAGGTACTGTTGCTTTCAATTGCAACGTTACAATCATAAATCTAATCCCAGGAAATATTTATGCCCACACTGTGGCAGACTCTTTAGACATTTGGGGCGACTTCGAGCTCACATGCTAACCCATATTCGGGGACAGACCTACACATGTGGACACTGTGGCAGGGTCTTGGAAAACTGGAACAAATTCTGGTTGCATCAGCGAGTTCATAAACAACAGCAAGGACGTTTCTTTTGCTCCACATGCGGTCAGGGTTTTCGCTTCACTGGATTGTATAAGCAGCATTTGGAGGAACATACAAAGCAACAAGCATATGGATGTCCTCTCAGTCCTTGTACATCTTCCCATGAAGAAAGTTTAAAAACCCACCAGCGAGAGTGGCACAATTCTTATAAACCATGTAGATGTAGTATTTGTGGAAAAGGCTTCCTCCATCAGAGAAACTTAGAAAGACACCTTTTAATTAAACATAGCGCTCACTCATGTTCCTGTTCTCTTTGCAATATCTCCTTTTCTTACCCCGATGAGTTACAAATACACCTAAAGACTCATGCAACCCCAAATAACCATGTTCCTGCAGTTTCATCACAACCTGTCTTGCTGCCCTACAGATGCGCGGAATGCAAAACAAGCTTCAGAACCCTAAACCTGCTATTTTCCCATCAGCTGTGTCACTCCTCTTCTAACAGTACGAAGGCATGGCACACTAGGAAAATTGTTGGCCAACAGCACCAAAAGCAGCTAAGTTATAGATGTAAACATACAACAGCACCTTTTGTTCACCCTGAAATTTCGTCTTTGAACTCACTTCATACCAGGAGACAAAACTTCTATTCCTGCAAAGATACAATTTCAGTCCCAATCACTCATCACATTTCCAGTACAATTTGCCAAGACAGTTCTAATGTCAGCCACTCCATTCCACCTTTAGATCTTCTTTCTCAAGAAGGAGGCACTAAGATAGGCAGCCCTCCCAATATTCATCCCTTGGCAGATGACACATGTCTAACTCAGACTGTGCCGTCCCCCATGGTGCCATTTTCTGAAACTCAAACTGAGAACTTCCATTTTCATACCCAAACTAGTACATCCATCCGACCATCTACTCTTCAACAAATATCACAGGCCCAGAGGGATCCCCAGAAAAAGCAAATTTCTCACACCTCAAAACCCCTTCATACTTCTGAGATGTCCACCAGAATTATTCGTAGAGTCTTATCTTCATCTGATGAGAATCAAGAGGATGAAGATAGTTTTGACTGTGCAGAATGTGGGGCGCAGTTTGGTGACGTTCCAGGATTATATGAACATTACTTACAGCATGCCAGAGGAGAGGTGTAAAGAACCAAATTGTTTAAAGAAAAAGGTTTAACAGAGGCCATTATATTTAACTTTTGCTTATTTTACTCATTTTTTCCTCTGTCCATTGAGTTCTATTAATATTTATGTACTTGGTACGTGTAAATATTCAGTTTATTCTAATGAGGGTGGAAGATTACACGTATACCTCAATGAGTGTGAGGAAAGATTGGTCTTAAAACTATAATTGGTAATGACAAGGCTGAACAGCTGATTTTGATGGTTGCTCAAATCCCAAAATATTACAAGTAAACATAGTCTGTAATATTGTAATATTCTGGTCAGATTTAGTTTCCTGCCTTTGAGCACTAGTATCTATAAAATGTTTCTCCATTGTTTTGAATGAGAACCTAATGTTAAATGGTTTGGATACCTTTTCACATTTTATCGCACTATTTTCTTAATGTAATGTTCATTTGTGGATTATGGACACTAAAAATTTCCAAGCTGTTACAAACTTGGAAGGCAATTATTATAAGTTTTGCCCTGAAAATGGTAAACATGATTTTACATTTATTAAAATTGTTTAAACTGTGAAGTTAATGTGAATTTCAGTAGTGCACTGTACAAATTACATTCATTGTGTTACAGGATTTTTTTCACTTTTGAAATGTGAACTAAAAATATGTATTGATTTCCTGTTGTTGAGATTTAAAAGAAAACAAAAAAAATAATTGTAATATAATTGTAAATATTCTGTTTTTGTTTCACTGTTAGTTTCCTAAAAAAGAAACAACCAAATCTCTTGTAACTGGCATTAAAATATAAAATGTTTGTTTTTCTCCTGATTTCAGTTTGTTACAGGTTTTACTTTTAAATTTGCTATGAAAAAAACAACCAAATTAACCAGTTTTCTTTTGTTTGATCTTTTTTGTGTTATTTTTATGTGTGTGTTATAAAGCAGAGATTAATGCAATAGAGGTTAAAAGGTTTCTACAAAATTTTCAAAAAGGTTATTTTTTTGTAATTCCTTGTAAATGTCATGTTCAAACAAATCAATAAAAATAAACTTTTATATTGTGTTTCCTTTCATTAATCGACTTTTGATATTTTAACTCATTTTAGAATAGGAAGATTTACTAAATATGCACATGAACCTACTTTTTTGGTAATAACTTTAGCAGACACATTTGTCCGAAGCAACATGGAGATTAGAGAACAGGCTCAGCCAGTGTCCCTGGTGCAACTGGCTTTAAGGGCGTTATATAAGGGTCCAATTCTGATGTCATTACCCTGCTGGCAATGGGATTTGAACCCGTGACTTTATGTCCCACTCCAGTCTAAAAAAGTGCAATAAAACTTAAATTTTTTTAATCTGAAGTTAAATGGCCTATCAAAATCACCAATTGTCATCTTCCCCATGTGGCGACAGTAGGTAGCCCCATGGCCTCACTCCTCTAACATTTTGGGTTTGATTCCTTCCTCCGTATTCTATAAAGGTTTTCAAGTTTTCTCCTGTAGTCTAAAAACCAGAGGTTAGGTGAACCGATGTTTTATAAACTGCCCTTAGTCCAGGGGTGGGGAACCTGATCCATGGAGGGCTGGTGTGGGTGCAGGCTCTGTCAATCAGCCAATAATTAAGCAGTGGTTCTCAACTCCAGTCCTGGGGACCCACTGTTATTGGCTGATTGAGAGGCCATCCCAAAAACCTGCACCCACACCGGCCCTCCATGGGTCAGGTTCCCCACCCCTGCCTTTGTGTATGATCTTGCATGTTGCATATATATATATATATATATATATATATATATATATATAGACACACACACACATACACATGCATGCACAAACATATTTGTGGATTACTTCACCCTAATTGTCAGTGCCTGCTGACACTTATGAGAAAAATAATGTCTAAGTGTAGTCTGCATGACGGTACGGGCATGAGATGACATGCATCCATTCCTTTTTAAATCGCTTAAATAAGTAGCGTTGACAAGATCCAGAGCATATCCTATTAAAATAGGGCGTGATTTTTCCTAAGGTAGCACAATACTTATCGTGAAACACTCAGTCAGCTAGTTTCATAATACGCATATCCACGCTTAGTGCTGACCTGAACATACAGAGCTTATGAATTACAGTATAAAGAAAAACGTACAACTGCGGGATATTCAGAGTATCCACACACCGTGTACCAAAAAACGCTGGCTGCGTGCAGATGAGCCGCGGTGCTGCCCGGAAGAAAATAGGGCCACCTTAAAAGGGCACAGAAAGCGTCGATTTTCCGGTGCCTATTGGGTAAGAGGGCAATGGCTTTATTGTATATTGATGCAGATGAACAGATCCCGAATATTCATCTCGTCCACCCTTCCGCCAATTCCACCCTTCGGATGAAGTATATATTCAACCAGAGGAGCGCATCAAGACCAGCAATTGTTTTGTAAGAAATTAGTTAAAACGGCTATTGCTAAAATATCGTCCGCCTGTTTGTATTACATGAATCACGAATGCAAACACGTTTACACGCAATGGATTGTTTTTATTATATATTTTTATTAATCATAACAATTGTGGAGACAGACCATTTTAATGGTATATACTGTACGTGTGTTTTATGTAGAAGTACAAGTAAAATGCTTATTTATGACTACAAGCCATGTGGTCATATTTATACAGCGGTGCTGGCCCACCGATAAAGGACGACAGAAAACGGAAATTTCCACCGTATTTCTCTGCATTATATCAATTAATATTTAATAAACGTCAATGAGTAATTCCTCCACTTTTTAATGGTGGGTTTTAAGGATGAATTGACGTAAAAAATAAATTAATTAAAAAAAAACTGGAGAATGTGAGCAGACTGGCGTTTTCACGAAAATTACCCAAAATATCCTTCATAATTTATCCTTTCGCTGAAGATTGTGTTAAATGGGATTTGACAGCATGCTGATATATAAAATGATCTATAGGCCTATTACTCAGGTTATCTTGGTTTTTACAAAATTGAAAGGTAAATGTTTTCTGTGGAAAAAAGAAGTATACTTTAACCAGAACATACCGCTGGCAATGGGCGATGGGAAGCGCAAAGGGTACACCCGTTTGTTGTTTGCCTTCTGTTTAATTGACGGTCGCGGTATCTTGGTTTTGCATGAGGTCTTAGTAGGCTATATCATTTTAAAGACGCAAATAAATCCCTTATTTGATTTAAAATCAGGGTAGTTTCATGAACATTTGGGGATTTATTTTGGCGGAGGTGTAAGTTATTGTCAAATCTTGAACTGACTGTCACCAGTGCTTGAAAAGAACGTTGTTGTAATGTCTGAATATTCTATATAATAAAATACTTTAACTGTAAAGTAAGGTTTTATTTTTATGGTTATAAATAAAAATGCAATTGTGAATATTAATATTAATAATAAGTTTACAATAGACCTTGTTCTTGTGTTTTTCATATTTTTGTCCTGAGGGCATCTGTTTTACTATGGTTTTCTAAAAAAAAAAGGCTATTGCTGTTCTGATCTAATGATTAACAGGAGACCTGTTGTAAGTGCTTTCGTGGAAAGAACTTAATTTCATCTATATTTTTCCTGGCTGCTTATTAATTTCAGTTAATTTCCCAAGTAAAGTGTGCACTTATTAAATATGACAATTCAGGTATTTTTAAAGTTTAATTAATTATGCAGAATAAAAGAGCTATCCCATTTTGTTTAGCTCCAAAAATGTATTTGTTTAACTTAAATTTCCCTTCATCAACTCTTTGATAATTTTTATAGCAGAGTATAACTTAGCTGTGTTCTATAGCCTTATCAACATACTTGAGTTTGTTTACATTTTACTTCTGTGCACAAGGCTATTACTTGTTACATTCTGCCATGAAACAGTGTTGTTAAACTACAAGGTCAACCGCATGCAAGGCTGAAGTGAAGTGATCACAACCAAAACAGTTCTTGTGGAGAAAAGTTGCCCTATGAAATTATGTGGTTGGTATGAAATGTAGAACATAGAATCAGAAACTAGCTCAATTTGCAAAAAGTGAATAAATGATAGTGGACCACATAATTCAGGATACTTTCATTAGACTACAAGGAAGCCTTCCAATTTGCCTGTCTCCTGATTCTATGCACTTTGCCTTCATTATCATCCATAAGCAGCTGGATTTGATTAAGTCAGATGGAAGCTCACATGGCTCATTCTCAAACACTCCAGCGAAATGAAAATCACTAATGCTTTGATATGCTTGCTCACGATAAGGAGTAATCAGTTGGTTCTAAAACACTCTAATCTTATACATTTCAAGACACACAATTAGAATCAATGCATATAATAGACATAATGCATAAATTACTTTTTTGATATATTGTATGTTCACATGCATCCTATATTATAAATATAATGTAAACATTTTAACAACTTTTGTCATTTTTAAAATTGTTTTATAAAAACGAATTTAGTTCATATGTTCTTAATCTTTACATTGAAACTTCTAGTCTCTATCACAGACTGTAATGGAGCCTCTTTCTGGGAAAGGAGGACCTTCCCATCTTGATGGTATAGACATCGTCATCAAGAAAGAAGAGGAGGAGCGTGAAGATTTGCTGGAAGATTTTCAAGAGTCTCCACTATTCGTCACCAAGCAGGAGAAGGAGGAGCACGCAGGAGAGAGGAAGTGTTATGGTTTGTACCCAATACAATGGGCACAGGTGCACTTAGGATGTGTCTGTGTTTCCTTCTGGTCAAGTAATTGTGTTTAGTATAACCCTGTTCATTGAACACTGCAGTAATTCAGTCCCATACTGGATTTTTATGAATCATGACTTCATCTTGCATATTGTCACTTCCCTTTTCCAGGATGTGCCCAGCCCCATATCACAAACTTTCAACCTACAAATGATAATCCAAGCACTCTGGAAGATGTGAACAAAGCAAAAAAGGTAAAGAAGAGGAAGAGGGTTTGTGAAGAGGAGGAGTGGGCTCCTGAGACAGTGGAAGATGACCGAGGTCCTGAGACAGTGGAAGATGACCGAGGTCCTGAGACAGTGGAAGATGACCGAGGTACTGACTCGAGGCATTGTCGCCTGTGCCAGCGCTGCTTTAGCTCCTCCTGGGAGCTCACTGGCCACTGCTGTACTGGCATAATAGGTACAGAGGACGGAGATGGCACAAAGTTGGAGTTTTGCTGCCCCGTGTGTGGTGATCGATTTTTGAGGCCCACTGCCTTCATAATGCACAAGCAGAGTCATGTCGGACAATCGCAGTACGTCTGCGGGGTGTGTGGCCGGACTTTAAAGACGCTCCGAAAGCTGGCCACCCACCGGCGGTCCCATACGCGCAGCCCCCTACTACACTTGCAATGTCGAGAATGTTGCCGATCCTTCCATGGCCTGGAAGCTCTGAGGGACCACAGGATGAGCCAACATGGTAAGGAAGCAGATAAGCAGGAGGAAGCAAAAGACATAGAGCACCGTGAGGCAAACACAAGGACCCTGAGCAGTGATACAGAGGGCATGGTAGGTGAGTGCTTTTCCATCACTTCCGGTACCTTTGACATTGGAGCTACTAGTTCACCAAACCTGCATTTTGGATAGTCGCTGGAATACTGTAAGTAAAACAGCTGAACATTGTAGTCTGTGTGTGTGTTTTTGAGTTTCCAGTTCCATTTTTGTTATTTTAGACTTCCTCTGCCAACCCGTGGAGGATGGGTTTCCCCCTTTGACTCTCGTTTCTTTCTTCTAGGAAGTTTTTCTTGCTACTGTCACTTGTGGCTTGATCACTGGGGGCTTAGGGCAGGAGTAATGTAAAGCACTTTGAGACTATGTAATGTGAAAATGCATTATATAAATGAAAAGAATTTCAAGTGATAATGTAGAAGTATTGATAACATAACTGATTTGGTATAGTGTTCGTAATTTAGGATTTATAAATAATATTAAAATTGAATATATTTCATTAACCTGTTTATTCATTTGTTACTCTCATTGGGGCATCTATTGTATAAGTGTCATGAAAATGTCTTTGTATTGTATTGTATTTGTGATTTGATTTTATTTAATAATGGGCACAACATATTGGTTATGTAAGATGAGTGTCTTTAAGTTAAAAAAAGTGCATAGCTGCACACATTCTGCCATTGACTTAAGTATGGAGTTTTAGGAGATTTGCATGCTTTGGGTGGAGAAACACCAAAATATGGGCGTATTGCATGTAAATGACCCTTAATGACCCTTCTGCCACTGACTTAAGTGCGCTTAATTGCATTTTTTCCCCATGCACTCTGGAGGGCTGTATTAAGTTACTCACCTCTACACGGCCAAATGCAATATGCCAGTTGTCAGAAAGCTTTCTAACCTGTATCATACATTTAGAAACAAATGTCACAATGTCACAATCCAAAATGGATGGATAATTCATAAAATTATATAATGCAATAGTATATAGAAATATATAAGTATATATACAGTACAAAGCACATTACCATTAGGCTGGATGCAAGTGACATCTGCCTTGTCAACATGTCTAGCAGGCGTATCAATTAGACTAAACAACGTTCCTCGTTTTGCTTGTTGCCAAAATCATCAAGGATGTGATCCACTTTTCTTGCTTGAGGAATTAATTATACTTCTTGCATGACCGTACCTCCTTCTAAGGGTTAAGTGCCGGGGGCGTGTCCACGCTGATGAGGGGAGAATACACTTAACTCAAACGAGCATAACTTTTTAAGCATTTGACTTAAGTGCTTCATGGATCCCTTTGTAATCAGTGGTGGCTGATCCACAGAATTAGAGGAGATAGTACCTCCTCTATTTTTGAGATAAAATTACAAAACAAGTAACTTTCATAACTCACTGCTATAATTTTTTTGTAACAATCACTGGTTTGATTTTTTTTTTCCTCTAGAAACTCCATGCGGACCAATTGATTTCTTTTAGCATGCATATTAATGAGTGCTTTGTGCCTAATCATATCTCTAACCTTCAATATTTCAAGGTTTCTGTTCCTGTATTCTCCCATTTTAATGTAGAAGCAGATAGCCGTGCAGCTCACTGGCCATGACCCTCTGATGTTATTTGCCCCGCCCCTTTTCTCACATGTCCCGTGTTCCTCTCTGGGCCCCAGCCCACTCTCTCCAGTCTCCTCAGCCTCCCCAATGCTTGCGCTGCTTCATGACATTCCGTGATGCGGAGACGGCAGAGAGGCACCTGCGCTTTAAGCATCCGGCTGATTATGAGCAAAAGCTCCAAGGCCACACGGTGTTTGCCTGCTGCGTCTGCGACCGCACCTTCCCATCCTCACGCCTTCTTTCTGCACACCAGCGCACACACAGCAAATGGAGCCTGATCCCTGCTGGACTAGATGAATCACTGCAGGAAAGCAGAGACGAGAGAGGAATAAAGAGGAATGCTGAGATTTTAGAGAGAAAACAGATAGTTGACAGTAAGTTGAATGATTTTTCCAAAATATTACATTAGTATTCATAGATTTTAGACATTATTACATTTTCAGGTACAAAATGCATTTAGGCGCTCCTCTACTTATGAATGAGATACGTTCTGAATGGCTGTTCGTAACTTGAAAGGTTCTTAAGTCGTTGTTCGACATCATTTTAAGGGTATACGCAAGTACAAAGAACTAAGATGCTGGGAGTACGCACACTACACTGCTGCGCGGCAGGAGTAGTTGCCAGAAGTCATACTAGGCAGAATTGGCACGCAGAAAAAAAAAAATGATATTGCGGACAGGAAATGAGAGCCCAACAAACACAATTTGGACTTACAGTCCTCTTCCTTCATATGTCTGATATTTCATAAGTAGAGGAGCGTCAGTATAAGCAATATAATATTTCACAGATAAGTTAGCAAAATTCCTGCCCTGTAGTTTTCTATGACTTTCAGATAGTAGGAGCAGACCAAGTGGATCTAGTTCAATGTGTTGCTTTCAATGCCACATCATCTTCACCGATCTTCAAACCTGGGAACGTCACATGATCTCCAAGCACCCTCCTTCCATAGCAGCGCATTCACCTGGTGAGAGTGGTCGGGGATACCTGTCCCCGCGGCCGCCCCGGGGCCAGCCAAGGCCCTACCGCTGCTCCACATGTGGAGAGAAGTTCATCCAGGAGAGCTCCCTGATAAAACACAGCACCGAGTCTCACGTGGGCTGAGGGGGAGCGGCTGCCAACAATAAAAGGCATATTAGCGATAATGTTTATTAGATAAAAATTACAGGATGACTGGTAGGTTACTTACCCTGTTTTACAGATACAACTGTTATACTATATACAGTATATAATAAAGACTCAAACTAAATTTTAACCATCTACATCCAACAGATGGAAAATATCGGTTAGTTCAGAATTTAGTTCAGAATTTATCTTCGTAGAAAAGAAAACACTGACTTCTTGATATAGGTTAATGATCTGTCATTCTAGCCTATGCAACAAAAAAAACTCATGTAACTTTGTTGTCTTGTTTACCTTGTTATTGAACTAGGAACAGAGAACAGGATAGAGAATGGAATTTCAGGGGAAAAGAAGTGTGCTGTATGTGTTCATTAAACTATGAACAAAAAACATGTTCAGTTTGTACAGATTCATGTTGTGCACAGGAAATGGTTTGTGCCTGCCGCTTTTATTTTTGCACTCAGTGCAATTAAAGCTCAACGCACTATCCAGATGATTCTTAGCTCACACCTTACACATGGGATCAGGCACATACCCACGTTTCGGGTTTGAAATCTGGCAGGTATTTATGTATGGCTATGGGCCTGTGTGGAATAGGGCTTGGTTTAAAAAATTGATTTTCTGAATCAAATTAATCTTTATTTGCATAATCCAATAATGATTCATAAAATCCTAAAATTTACTTTTTTAATATATGCCTTTTACAGCCTATGGCATTTTCTCGTAGATGTGTGAGGCATTAATCCCGTCGCACAATGTGATTTGGCAGACATAAACAGGTAAAAACATAGTGGTAGCTGCTCCACTGAAGGTACAGTCAAGCTTAAAGGCAGATATCTAGTGTCATGAACAGCATGTCAGGCATAATCCAGATATAGCAGCTCTTTGAGCCAAAACTTTACTGGGAGGCACACCAGACTTTACACAGTGACAGTAGCCAAGCTGGGGAACATAGTGAGGGCAGACACATATACACATGGAACAGAATTTGCAGATGAGAAACTGGTGAACAGGTAGGACATGAGGGCTGGGAACAAAGTGACTGTTCTAGCCAATCAGGGACAAGGCGGAGGCGGACCATGACAATACCCTCCCCCAACTCTGGGCATGAGAGGCAACGCCATAACCAGGGCAGAACACACAAGACAAGGGTCGAGGGAGACCAGACATGACAGCCTATAATATACATAGGACCAGTGAAGCAAGACAAGACCAAACAAGATGAAAAGAGAAAACAGACCAGCAACTGCTGATGGACCAAGGAAAGTGACAGTGCCGGATGGGTGAGGGTCCAGCACTTGCATTTCTGAGTATGGTGTAGCTGAACTAAAGACTAAGCATAGCTAGTTTGAAACTGCCACCCACTGCGGTTTATTTTATCCAACTACTCTCATTAAATCAGTTTCCTATTTTAGTGCTGTAGCGGTTCAGAGCATATCTCAAGAAGGAAAGTGTTTTGTTGAGAAGCTGTTTAAGCAGTTAGATGTCGATTCTACCATCAAACACAGTAAAAAAAAAGCACTTAAAAAGTGCATTTAGTTAAGTGTATCCTCCTCTCATCAGCGTGGACACGCCCACCTCACATAGCCTGAAAAAGAAGGCGCGGTCATGCAAGAAGCATAATTAATTCCTCAAGCAAGAAAAGAAGGTCACACCCTCGATGATTTTGGCAACAAGCAAAACAAGGAACAGGGACTATTTCATTTACATTGTGAACCTTATTGAAATCTATATAGAAACCCTTTTATTTTGAAAATGAAGGCAGCGCAGTACCCTAGTATGCTTATGTTTGGTCATTCGCACAAACATGAGAATTCTTCGACTTTTTTGTGTAGAGCAATTTACATTACCTTTACTTATTACATATAATAAAAATATGTAATCTATAGCTCTGATTTAATGATTCCTCAACCATTTTCCCAAAATAGGCACTACCATTGCAAATAATAATAAAATTAAGCCTAATGTTTTTAATCTTTCAACTTCACTGCATCTAACCCACGATAGACACTCAGTATATAGTATAATAAGATGTTCCTCCATTCCTTCAGTTGTTCTGAAATGTAGTGTCAATTGTTTCACTCCACCACTGATCAAATTGACATTTTAGACAATAATAAAATGTGAGTCTGTCTTCAAACTAATTTTAAAAGTTAGAGAAAATTAGATAATTATTTTCTGAGAATAACCCATATTGTGTGTAAGAATGAACCCTTTCCACCGTCTTCATTCAGAACAATTCTGTAAACAAGCAAATATGCCTAACCAATAAATATGGGGTAAATATACCACTGGGCGTACCAACCAGGCAGTGTGGCGGCATGTTGGACTATTGCCAAGTGTGAAGAGTGTAAGTAGCTCTGTGTAGTTAGTGTCCATCGTGCTGTTATTGTGCTGTACAGTAATGTCATGCATAGTAGGGCCTGTTTAATGTCATATGTTGTAAATACAGTGGTACCTCAGTTCTCGAACTCATTAGAACTCGAACCAACCAGTTAAAAAAAAAATTACCTAAAGCTTGATCTGAATCTCAGAAGCCGACCTAAGATAACTTGTACGCTCGGGGAAATGAGTCACGTGGCACGTCTCTCAGCGGAAACAAAGAGTAAAGCTTCAGTCTCAGCCTCGCATTCGCTGTGATAGCACCGTGCATGTTTACACTAACTGAACACATATATTTAGATAGTAAAAATACATTTAGACAATGATAGACAGTAACAGTAATTATTATTATATAATAAAATACATTTTAAAATAAAGATTTCTTATTCATTATTTTAATATTAATCATAAGCCATTCATACAACAATAATATTGTTGTGCCGAGCAGGGCCGGAACGGAGACAAAGGTGCAGACATCAGGGTATCGGCGAATACGGGGTTTAATTACAGGTAAGGCAGGCAAAACGCAGACAAACAATACAATGACCGGACTGGGGAAACAAACTGAAACGCGGACGAAATACAGAGGACTAATGACAACAACCAGAAACAGCTGATCTGGAGTTCTGAACGGATTAAATTTGAGTTCTGAGGTACTACTGTAATGTGTGTGTGCATGTGTGTGCCTACCGTGTGGCTTGTAGGTCTGGGCAACTAACATGGTGGGCAGTGTGTGTGTGTTGTGAGTGACTAAGAAGGGTGTGGCTGCAGAACAGTGGGCGACCTCCACTAGCAAGACTTTGTCGCTACCTCATCTGTACCAATCTGTTCAGACCGGGTAGCGACAGACTTCCACTGTAGGCTGGAAATCACATGACCTTCAATATGAGACCAGAAATCACATGACTTCCACTGTGGGGCCAGAAAACACATGATCTCCACTGTGGGCCGGAAATCACATGATCTCCATCTGGCCCAGACATGATGCGACTGAAGAGAACTCTGAAGGCTGAACATGCGTTTCCTTTAAAATTATGACTTTATGATATTTTAGTCTTAAATTATGATATTTGTAATAATATATAGTTACATAGAGATGTGAATTTCAGACTAAAACAGCCAATTTAAAATGACTTATTAACTTTCCCCTTGATTTAATTAAAGTAAATTCCCAATGTTGCACAGATATCCACAGGGGCGTAGATTTAGGGTGGACGGAGGGGATGTGTCCCCACCAATATCCTCCGACCATTGAAATGTC